GTTATTTTGAAATGAGACAGGAACTACCTGCATATATTTGGACAAGATTAGACAAGAAGAGCTGTCTAAACAGACCGTTATCATAGACCCGTTCACCAGCAATTCCTCACATATGTAGCAACACTTCCTTTGCTGAGCCATGCTGCGGGAGAAATGGTCTAACCTTTGTCGGTCGGTTAGGTCTCCACGACTAAAAATGTCCTTCCTCAGTGTGTTGTAAGGTTTGGAAGCATCCTTAGTGAAGATATCAGGCGTAACGTATCTGTTAAAATTGTGCATGGTAGTGCCTTTATAGAATTACGTTCTAAGTTCGCTATTAGTGCTGCTCTAATAATAGACGTAACCCTAAAATTGTAGATTTGTCATGATATGACTACCTCACACAATTGTTTACACTGACTTACCGTATCGTGATAGTTAGCACTATGATACTTGGCACTTTTGAAGAACACAGTGAGGCAAAAGATAGAACAATATAACTAAAGTGAATAAAAACATGTTATATAGAATGTCCACGTCTGAGAGGTTCAGCCATGCCATTCGACGGAATCGAATATTTCCGCGTTCACCACTATTGGTCTTCTCTCCGTGTTGAATGTTGAATATATGTTTTTCCAGTTATCTCATGTTCGGCTTTGAAGACTGTGTGGTTGCGATCAATACCACTAGACCTTCACTATTGCGAGGAACTATGCACGTGGGTCTGTCACAACGTGCTCGTGGAAATCAGCTTCTGGTAGCAGAACCAGGCTTCTTTGTGGTTGGGCCAGAATAGCATGAGCTGAAATGTGGGAAGGGGGCAGAAATAGTCTTCATCCCAAAGAGCTTAAATGTCTAGTCCGTCTTAATTAAGACAAGATATACCAATGAACAAGAGAAAAATATACGTAAATACCTAAAAAAATACCGCAATATGTAGAAGCGAAAATTCAAAACAATTACATTTTATGTTTGAGGTTTGATAACACCTTTACGCGTAACGCCTTTATAGATTTAGTATGCTAACCCAGTCAAATCAGAAGTCAGAAATAAAAGGCTTTAGAAGATATATATGGAAGGCTACCAATAAGTCAAGTGTTAGGTCCAAGCTGGCTCATAGCTGAAAGGGATGCATGGCGCGGCGCACACACTCATGGTCTGGTGAGGATGCATGATCGAGAACTTTCAGTTAAATGCGGTCGGCAAAACTAATGAGGTCAGCATCAATGCCGATAACTTACAGAACTATTCATTTCGGGAGTTAATTTACCACTAGTAGTATAACGAGGTTAAGACGATATGATATTAACATACCATACTCCTCACATCTTCACACACTCTGACAGTTAAATGACTTATTTTAGTACCATTTTACACTTGAGAAGGTATCCATTTAGGATAAAATACTAATGAGCTAGCACCAAAATACGTACTAATGTTTTCATGATCTGGATCAATCAACTGCGGAACTGCTTACCAGAGGTGATATTAACGGCATTTTATGCAAGATTTTTCAAATTAAGGTTTGATATTAACTTTAATTTAGTAGGAGCTCAGGAACAGGTTACTCTTCTACCATATTTTTGTAATAACTACTTCAATTTAGCCCATATTCAGGAAGAAGATAACAAAGTTCATACCTCTTCGGTATCGAGAACGGTCTCTTACCATCCGGACACAGACCGCAAGAAACAAGTGGTTGGCTAATTCTTTGAAATAAAATTTTACGTTTCAGTGTTCCAAACTTGAGCGCGTTCGTGTTATTGGTTCTTGGCGTGTTTATGAACTATGACGGAGTGGGTATTCCTATTCCATGAATGGGTTGTTTCACTGTCACATGTAGTTTATAACTCAGCAATTTGTATTAAAGGAGTTATGGCACATTTTTGATAAAAATTCTATAAGTGTATATTGAGTTACTGGAAACTAGTTCATAATCCTATTTTAAATGCCCGAGCTCCCAATTTTGTGGAAAATTTGGGGAAGCCGCTGTAGTAAAAATTGGTGTAATTTCGGGGAAATGGCACCAAAACCCCGACATTTCCTCAAAATCTCCCTTTAACCCTGGTCATCTGACTTTGTGGGTTTCCCCAAAATTTTCGCAAACTTGGGAGATTGGATGATTTAGGCAGTAGTGATTTTGTTGTTTGACAAGGTGGAATTTGAAATAATGTTTAGTATATCCTGAGTCGATACATTTTCATTTGTTCTATTGATGTACTGACCAGATGGTAGAGAGACTCCTAAATGTTAACATTCAAATGTCGTATTTGTGTACATAAGTACATTCTCACTTGATCATTCCTGTAAATTAATTTTTCTAATTATCCGACGAATAATTTGCGGTCGCCAAAATACCTATCATCTACTTCAGTTCCACGTGATATCCGGTAAATTCGGTGTCAGATTATGTCGTTACGACGTGTCTCTTAATTATTTAATTGTTTTTATATATTTATTCGGGCACATGAATATTGGTACAAAGGGGCATCAAACACAAGCCCCACACAACAACAACGAGAATGTGAAGAGATAAGGAGTGTAGAGTGCGTGTAAGGAAAAGGAGAACAATAACTAGTGTGAGTGAAATAATGATTGTGGGGGAGACATTTCGGTTAGCAAAAGTACAACCAGAGAGAATTTTGGTCAAAGAAGTAACGTTCATTCTTTTATGAAAAAAGTGAAAGAAAGATATAACAGGATCTTCACTGGCTTCTGTTCTAAGCCATGTCTGATAACGTCTCAAGTCAGTGTTGCAACATCTCTAGGACCCCAAGCAGGGAGTCGTGAAGGACCAATAGAAACCAGTCCTGTACAGCTTTCTATCATACCGTGTCATACACTGACCACCTCTCCGCTATTTCCAACCAGTTCCACAGTCGGCAATTAATGCACGACGTGAAATTCTTTGGGATGACATTCGTAGAACATGTCCAAGCCACCGAAGTCGATGTTTCATGATGGTAACACCAATTGCATTATCGTCTCTGTGCCCGAACACACGATGCCGAACCTCTGCATTACTGACGTGGTGTTGCCACTGGATGTCAGCAATCCTTCGGAGACAACGATAATCAAACACAGAGAGTCGTCTAACATCCTCAACTCAGAGAGGCCAGGTTTCACAAGTATTGAGCAGAACTGCTCTCACCAACGCGTTGTAGATCCAACCTTTTACAGCCAGACTAAAATCACGAAGGCGCCAAAGATGGCCCAGATTGACATAAGCCACTCTGGCTCTCACTATACCTGAATTGGTCTCATTACTCACGTCACTACTAGCACTAACACAGCTATCCAGATACACGAACTTCTCGAATACTAGTATTCACTCACTACCCAGGGTGAGTGCAGGATCCTACATGTCTTGTAAAAGTACTCTGTACTTCGAAGATGCAAAGCATATACCATACCTACGGACACTAATTGTTGACTGATTAAGTGCGGTTTGGGCACCCGGGCAGCCCTCACACATATCAAATGAGATCTGTATGGCGCATATATATTTGGTGCCTCCGTGTACCAAGATCTATGTGTTAAAATAAATAAATAAGTGCGGATTGCATGGCTTGGATATCGTTTCAGTACGACAATATCATTCCCATACTCAAGGTCGAAGTCTTTCTCCAGTCAACATCTACAACACCTACATCCATCAGACCTGTTTGCAGAAAGTTATCGATAGCAAAGTTGAAGAGGAGTGGTGAGATTAGAGAACCCTGTCTAACCCCACTGCTTGAATAGAACAATGGGGGGAGGTAATTGTTTGCTCTTATCTGCCCTAGGTGTTTGTATACAGGGCTTTTAAGATGTTAATAAACTCAGGTACACTCTTAGTTAGACAATCTCAGAGAACAGTCCTGTCCAACGAATCGAAGTTGGCCCTAATGTCTAAAGTAATAGTTTGGTTTTATTGCTTAGTCTCTTGTCTGACACCGCTTATAATCAACATAAAGCGTCATAGCAAGCAGTTCCGTGGTTATTTTGAAGTCATACAAGTTAAGGCTATCTCTAAAAATGTGCGCTTCCGAATCGGTTATCTTAAGGTTAACATTCCCACTTTTGAGTTCTAGAAATAAAATGCGTGAGGCGTTAGAAGCAAAAAACAATAATTGAGCTAACATGCCAAATCGTTTTGCTGTGCAGTGTTTGTTTACTAAAGTAGGTATTTTCAGACAATTTGTAAACTGTGGTATGATTGGGGTTCGTAGGATGCTGGATGTGATGTTGTATCAATGGAATCTTATCTAAAGTAGCTAGATGCTTAATATATGGATCATAATGTCAATTATTTTACGTTAGGCTCCTTGATGTGACTATTTTAGTGTTTCGGTGTAAGTCCTAACTAGACAATAAAATTACTTACTCAATTATTGTTTGCTTATTCGTAATGTTTTCGACTCATGCATCAGTTAGAACACATACTGACGGTTTGGACATTTGTAAAGCACTATTATGTCACATTTTCTCATATTATGAGCTACAATGCGTACCGGTTGATTTCAAACTTATGCTACCTATCTATTCGCAACAGTATATGTTTGTTAACATTAGAAATATGATGTTTTATGTGATTCATAAACCTCATTATAACAAGGAACTACAAGAACTAACAAGCTTTCGCTGCCTCTCGAAGTGAGACTGATTACGTTTCAGTAGCTCTTCTAATAAAATTCAAGGTTAATTTGGAGACCGAGATATAGATTACGGGAAACGAGGCTAAATGTTAGATTAGGAATGCCTCTCTCAGTAAACTTGAGTATACCACACTGAAAAGTTCTAGGTCTTTTTAGACCACATTGTAGGTCAATAACCACCAGGTATTTTAGTTATAAATTTTAGAGAGTTCGTCTCTAGATATTATCTAATACTCACTTATCGTTTTGTTTAGTTTTCCAGTTAACAATCTTGAACCATCACGAATGTTCTCCCTTTTGATGATACATTATTTTATAAATAATGGTAGAATTTATTGATGCAGTGTAAGGAAGGATCTTGGGCCGTACTACCTAAATTTCCAAATGAAATCTGTAGATGTTTCGGTTAAATCCACTGCTGAACCATTGCTTTCACCGAATTTGGCTGGATTTGTGTGTGGTGGCATTTCTGGAACAGTTTCTCGAACAGTTACAGCACCTATGGATCGTTTAAAAGTCCTCAGGCAAATGGAAATTCCAGAAATCGTAGGTAAAAACATGGTTTCAAGTGAGTGTTGATGATTTTAAATATATTTTACGCTTAGTGAGTTTTGTCATTTCAAAGTCTTTAAAATCCTTTTATTATTCTGTATTAATAATGGTCTGTGTCATACCAGTTTTTGCATGTTCCTACATACAGTGTATTAGTTGAATAAACCATTGCTTTTGGTTGTCATCTATGGAGTATACGGTCGTTATGTTTTCTGAAGATATTTGACAATCACCTATCTAGCTAAAGCTTCATCTATTAGACTGATATCTAGCGTCATTAGTCATTGATCTAATTGACTTCGATAGAGTCAGTAAAGAATTTTTAAGAATATTAATCTCGACTTCTACATATCCCCCCTTGACCCGCTTGTCTTTGACCGATCTATCCTTTTTATATGCCGTTAAGTTATCTAGTTCTCCCAACTTGCACACTGTCATGCCGAAATACTTCACCACTTATAAAGTCCATTTAGGGGTACTCTAACCCCTAAATATGTTGTAAGATTTTTCTACACAATTTGAAGCTTGATACTTTTCTCACTAATCCTCAGATGCTATATGGTCACCATTTGTAGTCCATTTGTAAACTAGTCTTTCTTTTCATCACCTTATTTCCAAAAACATGAATATGTCTACTTTATGACTAATAAACTTGATAAATCTTATAATCTTTATCAAGTTTTTGATAAGAGTGGAAAAACAAAGTTTTCCTAATTCACTGTTTATGGTAAACATCAGGAATATCTATCCAAGTAGTATCAATTCTACTCAGTTCTTAAGTTCAGTGTATATCTTTCGCACTTGTATTTTAACTCTTCATGTTAAGTATGGACAAAATTATTATCCCTATTGTTGTATTTCTGCCCATACACCTAGATTGAGACCTGATCACGTTGTTTTTCCTCTACTCTGCCCTGGATTTAATAGGTCAGTTGTATATTCCCATAGTTTAATTTTCATTTCGAGCTATAGTCCGTCTTTAAGTCGTTTGATGAACTTGGCGGAGTAGCCATTCCTTACAGTTTTTATCAGCTCATAAATCCTGAGTTTATCAAGTGGTCGCTGACGAAATAAGGTGGAGACTTTGGTTTCCTGTCCAATTTAGTTTTACTTTGAAGATTCTAAAGTCTATATATGTGCAGCTTAATAGATTTATGAAATATTCGCATATGTTAAAGGCAATTGAATTAAACCTTGTGTTTGAAAAAAGGACATCTGTCAGTAACAGTTATTTTCTACTGTGTACAGCAGAAATCTGTATATTTATTATCAAGGTACTTTTATCTTCTATGATATTTCTTAGGCTTGCGTATAATGATCAAAGAAGGTGGCATTCTGTCATTATGGCGAGGTAATGGGGTGAATATTTTAAAAAACTGTCCTGAAAGTGCTATTCGCTTTGGTCTTCACGGGTGGCTTAAGTCAGTAATTTTTCCTAATGTGAAAGGACCACTACCTCCAGAAGATCGTTTGTTGGTAGCTAGTTTGTCTGGTGCCACATCGTTAACAATAACTTATCCAGTTGAGGTAAGTTTAATCAAAAGTAAATAGCATAATCTTTATTTCGATTGATATTTCATCAATTTACACAATATTACAAGGTTAAATTTATTGGTAATTTGTTTGTTAGGATGAATATGTTTAACCCAATAATCAATCATTGGCTTATTTAATGGACTGTGAATCACATTTATTGTGAACATTATATTCATTAGCTTCATTTTCAGGTCGACATATGACTGAGATCTTATCATTTTACAACTTAGGCAACAAACGATAAATTTATAAAATATTCTAGATCTATCGTAGGTGAAACATAATGACGTTAATCATAAACTCAATGCAAAAGTAGTTATGAGATAGGGTAACATATTCAGTGCTTGCAACTGGGTGAAAAATAGAGTACATTTTAAACCTCTCGTTGATTTTTGTTTATGTCAGCTAAAGTTTTCCGCCACTGATTAGACAGTTACTTTTAACAGAATGGAGCAGTCAGTCATAGTCAACATAGTATCTGGTGTAAATAGACATCAGCTTAAGTTCCCATCCTACGTCATCACAGTAAGATGAAAGCAAGAAGATAAATACCAAAAGCCAAAATAATAGTGGTATCACTGGTAGTGATAAACACAAAATATATGTCATCAGTAAATTCTATTTAAAGAGTCGTCTATGGTAAAATTCCACGATTACAGGAGATACTGTCCTAATAATTGTAATAATAAAAGGAATCTAAGTGGTATTATTACTTATCGCCATAGTAAAGGCAAATATTATTTTTGATACTTTGAAGTCGCTTATCCGAAATATACGTCTGATTTTAGATTTTAAAAACTCGAATGGCTCTGCGTAGGTCACATGAAGCCAATTCCATATTTTCTGTAATCCGAAAACTACATAATGAGGGTGGTTTCCGAGGATTTTATCGAGGCTACAAAATCAGTATGCTGAGTTACGTGCCATATTCTGGAATGGAGTTATGCCTTTATGAGGTCAGTTGTTATGTCTTGATTTTCAGTTAGTGAGTTCTATTTTTGATCTACTCTACATTTTCCGTGTTATGGTAAATTACTTTTCGCCTTATGCATTTTGGGGTCCTAGTAAATATCTTTCGTAGGAATTCCTCTGGTTCGAAGGTCCTGTGGAAATCTTATCACCCCTGTAATGTTGGGCTCCTATGAAATGTTAATCTATGCGATGCTGTAAATCGGCACATAAAAATTTTAAACCACATTTTACATCTAATTAGTTACTAGCTGACAGAGCGACAAAAGCAGAAAATAGATCAGAAGTGGAGTGGATATCTTGTTCTACTCTGGTTTTCAGTGTTCCGAATAATCATTGTTATTGTTATTTTTAGAAGTTGTCTTCTAAGTCACCTAAAGAATAAACCTGGTTTTCAATATTTCCAAAAATGGTAGATTTATCCGCCTGGCACAGATGTATTGCAACTAATTTTCCTCCGGAACCCAGAAAACGGACAGTAACCGTAAACAATCAGCCAATACTTCAAAAGCTGAATTAACGAGTCGATCTAATCCATATCACCATTGAAAACCTGGAGGTACTGGAAGGCTGTATGAGACCCCTCAGCAGTGCTCATTCACGATCCCGAACGTGGGACTCGGACGCTTAACTTCTAGATCACAGCCGGCATCCAACGGTGTTGATGGCTGATTCCAATTGATCTTGCACAACCCTCGACTCGTGACGCGAACTTTAAAAATACTACAATCTCTCCATACTGATAGTCAACGAATAGTTTACAACATTCACGATCGAACAATGTAGTTCAGTAGTATTGGAATGTTTTGAAGTGGGAAGTAGTCTGTTGGATCAACTAAATATACAGTAAAAATAGTCGAATTTGAATTATAGCTATTCTTCATTGAATATTAAACCATAGCAATTTATTTCTTAATTAATAGAACGCTACATTTAACAGTTTACATGTACGTGCCAAAGCACATACATTGGAAGAAAGAACCAAGAGGAGAGTACATGTTCGCATTTCCGAGCATGTCCCAAATGACCTCTGACCTGTTCTTGCACACACATATATTTTTATTGATAACCTTTGTAATTCCAATTCCTGTGATTTACTTATGTCAGTTGTTTCACTCTATATCTTACCTCAATGTAAATTTTATCGCATTTGTTTGTAAGCTGATGAGAAACCACGAAATATAGTGAATTCACGTTATTCTGCATCCATGTTCGTTCTGGCTTTATTTAAATAGTACGCTACTTATGCGGTTTCTTATTCTACACGGAGTGTGTTTATTTCCGCGTAGTTTCGAACTACAAATACCTAGCTGCTCAAGTTCTTTCTGTTTTGACTGGTTGATTAGATAATATAGTCTGATTATAGAATAATTATATTTTCTGTGGAAAAAGGAAATTAACACTGGTAAGCCAGAACTGGAAATTTACTTCATATCAGATCCAAAGCCTTATCTACTAGTTTTCTTCAAGAACCATACCATAAAGTTTCTGAAACAGCATGTTTAGAGTATACTTCTTTTCCATCGTATTAGAGTTATGTCTAACTCAAATTTTTCCACATGTGCTTTATTTTCAGATGCTTAAACAGCGTTATGTAGAGTATCATTATTTCCTCCAGCCTAACACAGATCGTACAATGAAGGTTCATATGCCAGCTATGGTAACTGTTCCATTGATTTTAATATCTTGTTGTATTCCAATGATGATTACTTATCCAGCCAATTTACTTCGTACTCGATATCAAGCATCACCATCTCCGTCTGCTGCTCCTATTATCAAATCTTTGTGTTCTATTGTACAGAAGAATGGGTTTAAAGGACTTTATCGTGGGTTAAGTGCTAGTTTGTCAAAAACTGTTCCATCTGTTTGTGTTACTTATCTTGTTTTCGAATTTACCTCTGAATTGTTTGGTGTTCCTGGACTTGGTTGTAAGTAAGGAATTCGTAAAATTTGGTGCTCAATTTCTAGAAAAATCAATTAGATGAATTTATCGTACATCCATAAATTTGTATCTTGAGTTTTTCTTACACAAGAAAATTTTTCAGTTGCATTTGATTTCTTTTCCTTCGATCAACTAAAATTTAGGACTGATTCATCTTGTTTTCGGTCATGTTGTTGACATATTGAAATGTCTTTCAGTAAGTCTTAATCTATTTTAGTCAATGAATACCGATAAACGATTATTGTGCTTTAGCTGTAGTTTTTTAGAGTATAGTTAAGCCGATGTATATCAGGAGTAGTGTGATTCTTTCTCCACTTTCTTCATTTTTTCTACACCCTTTACTCCTAAATTTGTTTTTAGTTGTATATTAATGAATTCGCGGTAGTTACCAACCATTCTTATTCTCGTGTGTCGCTATTCACCGCAGATGTTTTTTTTCATTTTTCTGATAGCCTGTCGGTTTTTCTTCTCCTTTGTCACTTAAAGTGAACCAGTTGCCTCTGGTTACATAATTTTCCTTTCTTTTTCAGGTTTTTGTGTTTGTGTTGTCTATCCATTTAGTGGATATAAAATGATCAGTATTTTTATCAAACATTGTATCAGTAAAAAAATTGTATTTAGTTTTCTTTCCAAGATTTTTACAACAATATTCATGTTAGTAATCATAAAAATACTTCTATGTATATTGTTTGAAGCAAATGTGTAAATAAAATAACTACTTAGATATCTAAAATTCAGCGCTAATTTTCCATGACCTTCATATTAATCGGGCAATACATTCAACTTTGGATGCAATATTGTCAATAAATTAATATGTCACTTCCAACTTCTCTAGCTCTTTAGGTCATAACTTTTTCTTATAACTTCTTGAAATGCATCTCAAAACTAGTTAACATGCACTTGTTATCAAGTGACTTTAGTTTGTACTATCAATTACTTCCAACAATACAAAACTACCTTACTTGATGAGATAATTTCAGTCCATAATGGTTGTTAATAACAATAATAATAAGTGACAAACAGCGTTTCTCCCCTTCTAAATGCAAATTGTTGCTTCAGGATTGGCCCGCATCAACATCTGAACTAAGGATAGGAAGTGAAGTAGTCGAACGCGTCGACACCACTTATTTTGGAAGCTTGATCAGCTCTAATGGGTTGGTGTCTGACGAAATCTCTTCAGGGATTCAAAAAGCTCGTTTGGCTTTTACCAACTTACGTCACCTATGGCGAAGACAAGATATCCGCCTATCAATTAAGGGACGAGTATATTGCGCAGCAGTCCGTTCTGTTTTACTTTACGGTTGTGAAATGCGGCCATTAAGGGTAGAAGATACTCGTAAGTGACTGGTATCTGGTCACAGATGTTGCTCGCATTTGCTGGGATCACCGGGTACGGTAAGTAATAGTGAGGTTAGACGAAGGGTACCAGGGACTGCTGGTAAATCGTTCGGTTAGGTTGTGAATCCTCATCGACTAAGATGGTTGGGTCATATGTTACGTACGCCTGAACACCGATTACCACGACGTGCAATGCTGACTAGTGTTGGAGACGGGTGGAAGAAAGTTAGGGGCGGCCAAACTAAAACGTGGCATCAGCTCTTGAAGTCACTAACCTCTGATCTGAGCCATGTTGGTAAATGCAGACTATTTGGTTGGGGTCCGCGCGACTATCGTAACCAGTCGTTGGAAACTCTAGGTGACATAGCTTAGAATTTATCACAATGGTGTCGGTGTCTACAGTCTTTGTCTTCCCTTCTACGAACTAATTCTTTCTTCCTGCATTATTTCCTTATACAAAATCTTTCTTTTATACATTACTACCATTGAAGTAACTACTTTATAAATTTGGTGTTCATCTTGTTGTGCTAATGAGGTATGGCAACCTGGACTGATGCATATATGTGCCTCGTCCTATGTTGTAGATGAATGACTGACTGATACACTGCAACTATCCAATTCCTTTAGTTAGCGAGAAAGATCTTTGTGTATAAGAAAAGTAAAAGCTGGAAAAGTGAAATTTCGGTAATGATTTCTAGAAAATACATTCTGAGTGAGAGTAAAGAGTAGTTGGAAGAATGTCTCAGAGTATTTCTGTGAGATTTTATTCACTAGATGAGATAATATACTCACAATTTAAAAGTACAAACAATTATTATAATAATAAATATTTTTGTGATATGTAAATGAGTAGAAAATTGTATTTCTGACGTTTCTTGACTTAATGTAAATCACGGAACGTCATGAATACAATTTTCTACTCATTGAGATGCCACAATATATTTACTATTTTACTTCCTACCCAGTGCTCAATTTATTTGAAGCTGTCAAGTCCTACCTTGCCATTAATACCTATAGTTATTACGACAATCAGTTAAGTTTATTTAAAACAGTATCTATAAACAACTGCCTTCAAAAAATAATTGGTCTGTATTACTAATTGTTAGTATTTTCATTAGAATAACTCATTGCCTTTAATAAACATAGTATTAGCTAGTAGATTCAAGTTTCAACCGGTATGTATTGGGAATGTTAAATCCATAAGTATAGCATTGCAAAGAAAATACATATTGAAGTAAAGTGATTCCCATTCACTAATTAATCCTATATGAATCTCCTTCCTTGATTTCCAGTTCAGTGACAATCACTTAGTTTGCTAAACTTTTGTAGTTAGTACTAATTGAATTGGTCGATATATCATGGAAAATGCTTTGTATTGGTTACATTTACGAAGTAATTAACAAACTGTGTTATATATTTATATACTCATTAATGTTTCCGTTAATTCTGTGAATAATATCCAAGTATTACTGCTTTGTTCTTTCTGAATTAAATTAGCTATTTGACATCATGACTATTACCAAAACGTTTAAAGTATTCAAAGTTTCTAGTATTATTTAAACGGTCATATGCTATATAGACCTCTGGTAATTTGTCCTAACACTGACATTTAATGTTCCAGTAATGCTTGGCTATCTACATTTCTTTATTTCTTTGTAACACAATAAAGTCGATACTTTTGAATAACTATGTTGCTTTATTGTCACTGCTTTTCTATCTGTTGCACTGATGTCCGGAGCTGCAGTTGATTTTCTCGAACAAGTGGGTTTGGATTAATGGATTCGTTGTCATTTTGCATTTCTCTTACTATCCACTTACAAATCAGTTATATGTGCTAAAAGTTGTTTTATGTCCTATTAAGCCTTACTGAGTTGATCATCGTCAATAGTATGAGTAATTCTCTAAGTTTATTGAATAATATTGGTCTTTAATACAATATTCATTAATTGTCATTTAACATGATTAGGTCATCTCATTAGGTAGCTGATTTGAACCCTACTTCACGTACATCAGTTTTAGAAGTCGTTTGAAATTGTAGCGGCTTCTACGTTATTATATACCCGATTAATTCTAACTCCTGGATGGGCCCCTAACCCTGTTAACTAGAGGAAGAAGACAAGATTCAGCAGGCGGTATATGTAATTTCACAAGCAGTACGGAAGAACGAACAACAAGCACTCAACTCATGCTTAACATGTAAAACACAGAAATATCCTTGGAAAGCGTCATAAAACAACGTACTAAAAGAGAAAACGAACCCATGACGTCTGGGGTCCCTTCAGGCTGGAAATACAAACTGAAGGCGCGAAGATGAGGGATTCGAATTTCCACAGTTAAAACACGAAAATAAGAGGTTTCTCAAAAGGTTTTTGGTGATCTGGCGTCTCCAATATTGATAAAGTGTGTTTTACGTCGTTCGAATTACTGATGGCTCTTAATAATTCAGAAATCTCACAGCAATAATTGTATGATGAAAACGCGCTTTTTATGTAGGAGTTTATGGATTTTCTAAATACAATTATTAAAAATGAAATATTTTTGAAAAATTTATCTACATAATTTTTGATCATTTCGTTGGACGCCTAAGAAATTAAAATTCGTTAACCAGACACACCTAGTTAGGTACGTCTCACGTGATTAACCACGTTTTCAAAAAAGTTCATTTGATAATTTAGTATTTTTATTCACACATAACTGAAGCTTTTAATATCAGTGATGTTTGATCGATTCAAATAGTTTGATTGAGTGTTCTTAGTATTTTGAAGTATAGATTAAAAGGACAAAAAATAATGGAAACTAAAAATTCACTTTACCTTTGTATGATAAACAACCACGTTTTATTACAGTATTCATAGCTCAATTCATACATACCATTGAATTATCTTGCAGACTGGTAATATCCTTCAAATAATCAGCCTAATATTATAGTCATTTTAAACTGGAATGAAAACAATACGGTATTAACATTCCATTAAAAAGGATACTGATTTACAGTAAATATTTCTAACATTTTAATAAACAGTTGAGTGGAATTCAATAAATAATTATTGTAAGAAAACATAATGAGTTAATAAATTAGTTTACTCAAGTCACAAACCAAATATTTTAGTGTGTTTCTCTTATTTCATTGTTTGGCATTATGTAGTATTTGTATGAACTAATGATTCTTTTGTACTTGATGAGTGCCTGATTTTGAATGCTAAGTACAACACATTCGTTTGTACTCACCTAGTTCTGCCTGGTTTAAATTGTGCTATTTCGTGAATTCCTAGTTCGTATAATGATCTGAATACTTCTAATCATCAAACTTTATTTTGCAAATGAGCTTTTTAAATGAATTCTGATTACCCATTGAATTCTTATCAGTTTTGTAGTATAGCTTTAGTTGACAGGAAACTTTAGAAAGACGATAAGTTTCACGCTAACGTATTTAAAGTTTAATAGATATTTTTCGGACAAACAATTATTAGAGACCGTTTTTACTTCTTTGAGTGGTGTAGTAAAAAAACTTGGTTATTTAAATTTGCTGAGCCACACTATATTTCATAATAAAAAAGATGAATGGAAATAGATTTATTCACTGAGATTCTACCATTAATTTTTGAGATTATCATAATCGGTCAGGGCAACTGTTTAACAATAGTAAGCTCGTCAAC